ATTATCTGGTTTTGAAGTATAGTACCTTCATGTATATCCACTATATATGTGAATCTGCATGAAACGTTTTATCAAAACACCTTCATTTAAGCAAATCGTCGGCAAATAGAAGAATATGCGGACAACAAATATGTTAAATAGTTTAAGAAAATGTTTTTAAACCATGGCCCTATCTAACGATCTCATTTTTACGTTTTATTTGCTTTTGAAAAACTCTGGCCACTTTGAATTTGACCCTTCACTATATTCCAACACCTAGGGTAGCAACGGATCCCCCCAATCGTCGCCTATAGCGGCTTAGAACCTCGATCAATATGACGGGTTTATTTGCCCTCGTGATAAATACCGCCATAATTCTTAATGCTTAAACGATGCATAGGTAGATCTTCTACCGATATGTTTAAAAATAAATGTTACTATTTTTCAAAAGATAGGACAATCCTTCCTTTTTTTACTTTAAAAGTTGGCCTACATCGGGAGGGGGTATATCTTGTCTTATTGGACCGAAGAAATGGTATATTTTGGTGGGCTGCAGGGAAGCAGGATGAGAAAGATGTTACTTGGCACGTTCAGAGTATAATAAATGGTTTGATTTTTAATTCCCTCAGGTGCTCTGGTTTTGTTTGCGAACACGGGGGTCCTGTAGGGCCGACAGTTCGCTTGTATCAAAATGACATGTCCCCTTCTATATTAGGTATTGGCTCAGTGATAAAGCATGATTCGAGTATAACGTATTGACACCGAACAACTTGGTATGACAGACAGTCTTGTGTAAAGGTGATTTAAGGCGAGATTTTCTTTAAAGAAAAAAATTAAGACAACGGTTTGTTTCCCGTTTTTCACACTTTCATGTGTGTTCTTCTCCCTATATCACTAATCTTTTCTTTCACCTCTCCAAGAACGATTTTCTAGGTCTGCCAAAACACGTGTATACCATATGTTGACTATTTTTTAAAGAAAAAAAAATGGATGCCGTAGAAAATCTGAAAGATTTTTAATGAGGCGGGTGGGACGAGAAAACGACGACCATGTGTTAGATGACGGTTTTTCGGATAACAATGCGATGAGATTTTATACAGGTGTGGAGGTCGAGCTGAACTTTAATCTGGATTCGGGATTTTCCTCATTTTTTTCCCTACATCACTCACCATGTGCCATTAATTCTAGCGAAGTGTATCCGAGTTTCCTTATGTAAAAATAAGACTAAACGTAAATTAACTTTTGCATGTATTTGTAAACATGGCAGAATATGGTCTTCCTTCGAATTTCTTGTATTATAATCTGCGGAAATCGGTACAAAAGCAAATACTTGTTTTAATATAATGTGTCTTGTACAGAAATGAGAAGGGGGTCCAAATATTAAAGGGGGTTCGTTTTAATTATGATATGACAAGGGATGGGAAAAAGGCCTTGTTCCTGGTACTTGGGTGGGGGTCATGAAGAGATGTTTGATAATCCACTCTTCAGGTACCTATAGTAAAAATTCATGGTTTAAGATAACCAGATGACCATATTGAAGAAAGAGTGATGAGGTAAAATCGACGAGCTGGACCAAAGCAAGTCATGCAAAAATATATGTCATCTATTATTTGTCGAAGTCGACCTTCAGTCGTAGTTAAAATAATCAAAATGTGTATCGGGACAAGTCCTCACCACAGTTGTAAAACCGGGGACAATGGGACAATATCATTTTAATGATAAAACGTTCTTTCTACTTCAGACGCATCCCGCAGTCGGCCCTTCTCAGAATCCAGCATAGTGACGATCATGAAGTCCCAACACTAGCTATACATGTATATATATAGAATTGACATAAAATATATCATTTGTGTTAAGCAAGGTGGTGATGATGTATTTGCCTTCTTAACCTTTGAATTTCATTGGTTCTCATAATAAGGGGGTTAATGTTTTCCGTGGGGGGGTATCAAATTTCGTTTTTAAAATATTAATATCCTCAAAGCTTGCAACATCTGTTTGGGAGGGTTAATATTAAATACCTAAGTAAATAAAGCGTGTAATGCTAAACCTAATATATGATGCAAAAACTCTCGAAAGACAAATTAGAAATTTTCTTTTAATTTTTATTGACAGGTGTGTTCTTCTTTTAGAACTGGATCGAAAGGGTTGACAAAATCCGGAATGCACATCTGCACATCTTAAGTGTGAGAAAATACATCATTCCAGATATAAATGAGATGCTGCACTTTTTTAAGTACTTACAAAGTTAACATCTGAGCCAACAGTTTTCTATTTTTCTTTCTACTTTAGAAACACCTTAGAGGGAGTATAAATTCCGAACATCTGTTCGTTCTATGGGATGAAACTATTTGAGACCATGACAAACTGAAAAATAAATTAGAAACAAACATCTACTATTGATAAAATGTTGAAATTTAATTGAACGTTTGTAGTGTCAAACCCTTGATAACCTAGCCTCATTCTTTATATAATGAAATGGAGTATTTATCAAGACTAAGATAAATACAATTTGGAATGCAAATATCTGAAAAGACATGGACATGATATCCAAACATACATCATCCACGAATAACTATATTTTTTCTCTTCTGATCTATATTATTGTCCCGCTTAGGACTCTCTCTCTCTCTCTCCAACATTCGAAAAATATCGCATTATACTATGGCCAAAGAAAAAAATGGCTAAGGAAAGCTATTTGTCACTTGCATGAAATCTAAATGAAGCATCTAGAGACGTTTGCCAGAAATTATTGACATTGTTTTCGACGTTAATCAGCAATTGCTTTGAAATATAGCAGAAGTCATAATGAAAGTATAAATAATACTCGATTTTACACTGATAGATTTAGAGCTTTCAACCACCCCCGCGCCATTTTTTTTTCTTTTTGAATTGAAATGCTTTATCATTTGCAGGACCTTTAAGCAATAAACGGTGTCCAAAGGGCATACCCGGGCGGTATATCTGTTTCGAATCGTTATGTAATTATAAGTTCAATTATAATACGCATAATAAAACATTTTATCAAATTTTCTGTTTTATCATGGGAAAAATATCTATATAACAGCTGGCCCGGAGATAACTATATGTTTTGGAAACGATGGTCTTTCAGTCGAGTGAATCTGATACACCCATATCATACAACTTAAAAAGTAGATGTCACGAAAAAAATTAAAACACCGTCTGTTGCATACAAATGGCGTATATTTAGACGTTCAACTCTACGGACATTTTCTTCTCTGGTGTAATGTACTAACCCCTGACTTCAAGCTTCTGGAGTTACGCGCCGTATAAAACACGTGATAGGTTGTCTTGGTTACCCAAATTTATGCTTCCCGCTTCGTCGGAGAATTGTAACTTTATCTATCACCACGTGTTAGTATGCTTCATTCTTTTGCTTTCTTACGAACATGAATATTCTCTCTCTCTCTCTCTCTCTCTCTCTCTCTCTGCGTGAGAATTTATCTCTCAAAGGAAATCGATAAACCAGCATAAAATCTTTATTTTAAGGGAAAACTTAGACATGTATTTGAATTTTCAATCGCCCTATTATAACTCTAGTTGCTGTATCAAGACCTATGAAGAATATAAATGATATAAGAAATTTACACGTGTGGCTTTTAAGATGTAAAATGAATATATTTAATGAAAAATGAACGCATTTTTTTCATATTTATTTTGTATATATTTAAATATGTATTAACTTTTTTTTTCCAATCCGACTTTCTCTCTCTCTCTCTCTCTCTCTCTCTCTCTAAATATATATAAATGTCAAGAATACATAAAATGGACATGGGAATTGAGAAAATCGAAAAAGGATTGTAGATTCTATTGCCGAAATTAAAAGCTTTTCGATAACAAGATACATGTAGGTATATAAAACAGAAGAAATTGAGTTTGTTGATCCAATTTCTTTGAAATTATCTTGCTAATTTGCAATAAACACACAGAAGTTGAGTTATTTGAGGTAATTTTCTCATTAAGGTTTGTAAATACCCTTAACGAAGTTTAATTAAACCGTAGAGAAATCTCTTGTGTTGAGTCCAATTCCCGATGTGTCAGAATCAATTTCATGTCTTACTATATAGTGTCAGGAACGTCGCCATTTATTTTTCTATGTGTTCAAAATGTCTTATTCTTGTTCGTGGCTTCTCAGTATGTTTACTTAAGTTTAAAATCAAACTAGGAGAAAACATTAAAAACTTTTGAAACGTTTCTTGAATGTTTCTGAGTAGACACGCAAAACTTGAAAATGTTTGGGGGACCACTTGCCTAAAATTGTTAGACGGGGATTGGACATTACCGGGGTAACTACACTTGAATATGAAAAGAGCTGAGCAGAGAGAGGAAGAAAGAAAGCAATTGTCGCCATTCAACAAAAAGTTCAAATCCACAAGTAGCTGGGGTCGTTAATTGAAATATTTTAAATGAGTTCGTTATTTCAGCTCTTAGAATTTGCGGTATCCCCTTCCTCCTTTCATTTCAGTTCAATTATATACGAATCTTCATTAATTTTCATTTTTTGCTTGGATTTTGTTTCATATTGTTTTGTATATTTGTTTCTCCTTGACGATATTTTCTCCAATTATCAAAAAACTAACAAGGTTGAATGATCCTAAGTAATTTAATTTGTTAATTGAATTTACATGCAAAGTTTTACGGTGAACCATGATTCTCTTTTTTCCAAGAAGCTGACTTTAACAGAATTTCTTAATTTTTCTCTTTACAGATAATTCTTCAATAGAAACATTAAAAAATGGGTATCGCGCTTTTTTATTAAATCAGTATCTTACTTGTCCAGTAGAGCTTTTGATATGCGATATAAAACTGTATCTGGCTATGTGCTTATATAATTTTAAGATTTGGCGTAAATTATCAATTAAATGTTTTGATTGACACCAATTTCCATAATACACACACTTTTGACACCTTTCAAGCCAAGGGGTGTTAAATTAACACGCACGTGATTATCTAGACCAATCAAATGTCTCGTTACAAGTTGCGGTATGTATTGACTCTCCAGACTTTGGAGGCGATGTAAAACATTCGCGAGATCTCGAACTACACAGAACTTGGACAGAGTGCGGAGTGCTAGTATTTATTCATACAAAATGGACATCGATTGACCAGGAAACTTAAAGCAAACGAAAGAGCAGAATGTCTTTATTTCATCCGTGCGGAACGATTAATCGTTGATTGTGTGTAAATGCATTTTGGGTGAAAATCCAAAACTTCATCTGTCCATGGGTCTGCCAAAATGGCGGCCGCTGTTTATGTATTCGCTGCTTTTGTTATATGGAATTTGATGTGTTTTAGTGGAACATTGGGCGTGCAGCTACAATGTCCGACGTATTGTAATTGCTTAGGAAACCTTGTAGATTGTTCTCGACAAGGTCTTATAAATGTTCCGAAAGACCTCATTTTCCCAGTGTGGACAACTAGACTGTAAGTAAACTTGACCCCCTTTTTCTAACGCACATTAACATTACGAGTAGAGATCTGATGGAATCTTCTTTCTAGTGATAAAATTAATTCCTAAAGATACTATTTCATATATATAAGTATATTTTAAGGTAATATATCCTAGAAAAAGTTGTGTAAAAGTTTCCAAACTACCTAACGATTTGGTTTTGGGTTATCTTCTCTTGGCCAATGTAAAGTGGTTTTGTTTACATAGACCACGTCTTCTAATGCAGTGAAGACCAGCTGAGTTATTTACACAACCGTTTCAAAGTAACGTCCAAAAGAAAGAATTGCTTTGTGTTTGCAGAGTGAAATTTTAATTCAAAAGAATATTGGTTTTCTCAGGGACATATCTTTGCGAACAATTAAATTGGGGTATTGAAAGGGTTTTTACTATGAAGAGAATATCAATTAAAAAGTTTTCAACAAATCCATTTTAAAACTTTTCTATAGAAAATGTTTATAGAGCTGCAATTTGCAATAATGTGGTGTTTCTTCTGATTATGAATAATGAGTGGTGTTGATGCAATTAATATTTGCGTTAATTTAAATTGATCTGAAGAGGTACGTGACAAGGCATATTTTTTTTCTAAAAAAGATATTTCGATGTTCAAAATCCCTATAAACTATTCCAACACATTGTGATGGTACCTAGAGATTACGAGGAAATAAAACACTACACGATCAAAATTTTCAGGAAATTGTTCTCGCTTGAAACAAGGACTAATTCCTGTTTGAGGCATAATATTAAGATCAGCTCTTATTTGTCAAGGACTCTTGATACAATGAATAAAGTGTACAATTTACTGAATAGTTGTAAAGTGGTCTCCAGTAGGATTCTGAATTAAAATGAAATATGATGGATGCAGCATTATAATGTAATAAATTCATTACCTAATGTTTCACTGCTGTACAGTACATCATAGTACATGTCACATGCTTTAAATGGGTTGCAATGGTATAAAAAATTTAATTGTGATTTCTGAGAAACATTTACATTTATTGTAAAAGTAATGACTGCATGATGTAGAAATGTTTCAAACTGAAAAACTTATTTACATCATCTAGGAATATTAATTTAAAAGCTCATTTGTTGTGATTTCAAAAGTAACGCATTAAATGCATTTTTTAAAATTTGATTTTACAGAGAATTGCAGAACAATGGAATTTCATCCTTGTCTAAAGATGATTTTAAAGGATTAAGAAACTTGACCCAGCTGTAAGTATAGATCTATTAAGCTTGGTATGATGCAGTATATTTCAGTTTTTCATAGGGCACAGGGATTTTTTGATATTTGAAAGTTAATGATGCAAGTCTGAGAGAAACAGAGGACAAAATGATACAGGTTGTGAAGTTGACAAAGAACCCAGGGACTAGAGTAAAAGGTGGTAAACATGACCATAAAATTCACAAGCTTATGTGATTTTGCACATTGTTATTAATTTAAAAAATAAGTAACTTATTTTATACATTCAAGAAGGAAACAAAATTAGCACATTACTTTTTTGATGATTTTATGCCCATTGTTTATTGGCCAACGTGGATTCAAGAATTTCAGCATGGTGGTTAAATACTCTTCATGACTGTACGAAAGATTTCTTGAAGTGGATAATGCAAAAACCTGAAAAATAATATGTTGTAAAATTTTAGCATTATTTCTCTGTGCACATTTTAAAGAGTAATTTTTCTCCCTCAATTTTAAGCATTTTGATAAAGTTACCTAGATCTACAATTGAATTTTGTATGGGGGGAAAAACATAATTGGCCTGTGGATCATTGTTGTTTAATGAAGTTGTTGAAGCACATCTCAAAGGTCTTTTAATTTGATCAGATATGTCGGAATATCAAGTCAGTAGAAAAAGATGTGATTGTCAGCTAGCACAAAAGGGGACAGTGGCCTTTCATTAAATAGACACATTATACAATTATAAATCTTTAAACTGTTGTCCTTATCTGGGTAAAAAGTTTTATTTGCAGATCAAGTGGACTTTTTGTTAATGAAAGAAAATGTCATTAGAGATTTTGAATAAGCAGGTTAAAATTGGGTGTCTTTTTTCATGGCTATGAATGTATATATGTGTAGTATAGTGTCAGATGAGATTGGACTTTTTTCCCCTTTCAATGTACTTGTTTTAAGAAGAAAATACACTTTCTTTAGTTGTGAAATAATATGAAGAGGCTTTTTATGAACACATTGAGGGGTATGATGCTAGGGTTTCCTTATTGAAACACAAATCTTGGTTCATTAAGAATGGAATCACTTTTTTGATGTTTTTACATCATGCAACCTGTTTAAGGTCTCTACCTTTCCACACAAATTCGTCATTCATGATTTATATTTTGTTAGAGGAGGCCATTATTTGGGCAAAGGGTACACGTGAAAACTGAAACCATAATCATTACTAATATGGAATATTAACTCAGGTGTAATATATGGAATTAATCTTGTGTTGTATGAAGTCTTGTCATGGACTAATATTGTACACATTGTAACATTTTAAACACTCAGTTTTTTGTTTTTTTTGTAAATGTTACCTGAATATATAATTGCCGTATTGTTTTGCCTCATGAAAAATAGCAACAGCATGCAAATATCACATTTTGAACATGCTGACCATATTACTTGTGAAGATCTTTTAGTGTGGCTTACACACGTGTGGGTAATGGGTGTAATTAAAACTGTACCCAGGCACCCTACCATCTAGATATCAAGACAGAGAAGTTAGTATGAACAATATAGATCAAAAGCTGCCTTGTAACATGGGATGTATATTTGCTACACTTCAGATTGCCTCAAATTAATAGTGTTAAATGTTAATGACGTTTTTTTTTTCATGTAGAGTGCTTGTTTACTTTTATGCCAAACAGATGGTTAGTTTCATACTTTGTATATGGTTCTAACAAATTGTAACTCAAGTTATTACACCCAGTTTTATGTGCTTTAAGGATATTTTTTTCTATAAGCAATAACAGTTTGTTTTCTTTGATTTCATTGTTGAAAAATGTTTGCAAGGTTAAGTTTTAATAAAGGGGTGAAAATGAAATAAATTTCTGGTAAGAATAGGGAAATGAACCTTAACCCTATCACAGTGTTATTGCAGTTTTTTTTCTGACCATCTGTTCTTTATTGTAAAGGGTTGAAATACATCTTGCTTGTATTAATTGTTAAATTTTTATAGATAAGAACAGTTAAATATCATAGATATATAATATGTAATTGTATATATATGACCTAAGGTAAATTTTTGTAACTTGTAATTAATATAATATTGGTGTGATCTGTTTTGTACATATTAATTAGTTAAGAGTTTATCCCCATATAGAGTTAATGTACATAAACTAATTAAGATAAATCTTGTGGATGGAGAGAAAAATTGATTTGGACATTGTTTGATAAATCTGAATTTGAGTGATTTTAAATTGGTCTTCGTGATATTAAGCTGAGGATGAAATGGTCGGAAGTTTTGTTTGTTGAACGTCTTGGTGGATTTTTTTTTTCTGCACCATGTTAAGCCGTGTGCATTAAGTTAGTCAATGGGAGTCATTACCTAGCTAATGTGATCACTTTCATCTATGATGTGGCAAGCGATACAAAAAAAAAACATGAAATATGGGTTTCGGATAATAATAGCGTAACAGCGATAAATTCTTGATATTGCATGATATTAAGCGATAAAATTTGTGAAGTCACTCCGTAAAATTGTATGGTTGGGCTACCAAGTACGTGAAAGTTTAATGAAAAATACAGATTGACTTTTTATGGAAAGTTGGGTCTTTCTTCAGAGTGATTTTGTATTGCTTTTTGTGCAACCTGAATAATTTAATGATGCTGGATGGGGTTTTCAATCAAAAAAAGCTTGTTCCAAAATAGGGAAAACGTTAAAGAACGTTAGCAGTTTTGTTGCACGCAAATAGTTAACACTAGATAATATGGAGACTGTGTTCTTTCTTTACTGTACACCTGTTATAAACATATATGTAAAATAACAATTTTATTTTATTTATTTGAAAGATAAGCCATTAATATTTCACAACCAAAAAAAAAAAAAAAAAGATTTAAAAAAAAAATGGAAAATCATGTGGTTATTAATACAAGTATAGAAATATGAATACAGTGGAGAGGTTTTGTATCTTTATATTGTAATTACTTAAAGTCAGAAATATTACTTAAATACAGAAATATAGAGTACAGAGCACATAAGGTTTGAATTTTATCATAATTAAAACCAGTTATTAAAGATAGGAATTATACAACACATAAATGTTGATAATTCGAACCATCTGAATGTATTAAAACATGCATCTAGAAAAAAATAATTTTGCCTCCCAGCATTATCAAAAGTCAGGAATGTACACTGTACCACTCTTAGAAATTTTGTATCCAAGTATGATCAAATCTTAGAAATATACAGAGTGCATAAATCTCAGATCTTTGAATCTCAAAACTAAGAAAATGTGTAAATTAGAGATAAGCTCCCTGGGTGTAAACATGCCAGTCTGACATTCTCTTTATTTTCCACTTCTGATTTCTAAGTGTTCTAATTTTAGCTGCAGCATCCCCCCTGTTCATTACTCAGATTTCAGTCCTATAGCGCGCGAGGTGTTGCAAGGGGGAAAAAAAAATCGGCACAGAGTAATTCGATTGGATTCTGTAGATCTTACGGCGAGATTTCCAACACCAAAGGATGTAGCATTTTGTGTTGGGCTTAGATTTGAATGAGAAGCAAACATGTATGGCGGTGTTGATAGTGTTGTTGTTTGCGTATAATGTGTACTTTTTTCTTGGTGGGGACCAGGTGTAAGGCAAAGATGAGAAGCAAGGAATTGATGTTTTATGTTGATATTTGATGATAATCTCTCTCATGGCCGATAGCTTTAGAATTTATGCCTGCAAGTTGTCATATTTCATACCTATTTAGTCAGTTTGAGATCTCTCTTTTTCCCTTCATCATGTTAATAAATGCAAAGACTTTACAAGAAATTTTTATTGTTCCTTAGTTTTGAATATATGCTAATATGTAATTTTGAATACTTTGCACAAATTAGAGTAAAATATTCTGCTTACTGTTCAAAGATTTATTTAAATTGTAGAACTTACTTTGGTTATCATCATTTTCAAGCTATTTTGACCTATATTTTAACTGTTACAGTATCAATCATGCCGTGAAAAGTACTTAAAGTACATGATTCCAATAGTATTTTAATATCATTTCCTGGAAAGGGACTAATGACATTGCAAATTCCTTTTCAAATGAGTTATAAGTAGCATGTCATCCCAGCAGAGTAGTGACTGTTGGTGTATAGGTTTAATTAACAACATCTGGTGTAGGTCCTCATTATTAATTCAGGTAGAAATGAATGACTTTTACCTATTACACTGCAAATATACATGTATACTTATGTAGTTTGACCTTCATAAAGGGGGAAATTGCTCTTTGTTGAAGGTTATATTGTAGAGTATATAATTTGATTACCAATTACAATTTTGTTTCCTTTTTCTGGATGTGGAATTCATTGATAAAAATGCAATTTTTAATATAAATATGAAAAAAAGTTGGTTTTCATAAAGTTTTCTGCTCTGTTCGTATCCATGCATTCCTTTTGAGGTGAAATTTATTGCACTATACATGAAACAGGTGTGTACAGTAAATTTATTTCTTGATTTAGATGGGAAAAAAAAAATCTGTTTAAATATATATGTACCAACATTACAACAGTTGCCCAAGCAAGAAGCTTTGAGCGTGGAAGGCCAGGTGTTTGTAAAAACAATCAGGACTTCCCAGGTAGAATAAGGGGATATTGAATTTCTCAGGTATTGGATTTAGTAGAGGAAAAAGTATAGGGGCACCTTTAGTCGTTGTATGGAAGGGTTTTATTGCTACCCTTATCACCAACTTGTGCAATCAATGGAAAATTACAATTTGTCTCTTTTAATTCAGTGTTAATTTTCTTGATTTTGTTTTGTGATTGTGAATTTAGGGGAGAGAGGATTAAACAAATCCAATTAAATCTAAAGAACTTTAAAAGGGTGTGTTATATATGTGTGTGCTCTATCTTTTTTTTTTATTTTTAGAGATAATGGTGACTTTTTAGATTCATCTTATCCCGAATCTTGTCTTTTAATGTCCCTCAAAGATAATTAAAAAGATAGTTTTAATGTATTCTGTTTAATTGTTTCACTTGTTTTTAAATTTATGTGTATATTTTAAAATCTCATTTTTTTTCAAACAACATTAAAATCAGTATTTAATTAATAGATAGAAATTTAACAGCGATTTAATTGATTGAAATTGTTATCACCTGGTCTCCAATTTTAATTAAAAAAAATCTTTGCTGTGAAAATATTTCATTAAAATTGAAGTTTTGTGAATATATTGACTGGAGAAGTGCTATAGTGAGAAAATTAAAATATGTTAGAAATGATTATCCACTTGTAATGGAAAAAAAATCCCACAGCAAGTTCCAAAGGAAAGTTTTTAAAATATTAAATCTGTCAAAATAAATTCAGTGGAACTTTTGTGGTATAATCCACTCAAGAGAGAAGTTTAATACATTTACATGTAGAAGAAATTACCATGCTAATAAGAAATTCATTATTAGCTTTTCACACCTTTCAAAAAAAAAATGTTTTTCCACTAAGTAAACAAGGCCAGTTTTTGTACAGGGGTTAATGCTTATATCAATAGTTTGCCCAAACAACTCTCTGGTCATACAAAGGGCCCAGGAATCGGTTACTTTGGAGGATAAAACAAAACAAATACGAGTGGTCTCCGAGCATGAAATTGCCCATTGTTGCTCGTGTTTGCTTTTAATCTTGTTGTGTACGAAAGTGTCACCTCGGCAAAGCAAAGGGAAAAAGAACTGCCCTAGCTAGCTTCTCGGCTGGTGAACGGACTCTTAGGGGGGACAAAACTTTACATGTGTCAAAGCCTGGTCAAGTCACTATTGTTGACTCTCTGCCTTTGACAGAATATTTCACAACTCTATGCATCAATGCTAGGATTTCAATGCAGTAAAACATTATTTACCTGTACTTATAAACTTATGTTGAGGTGTTAATTAATGAAATGTCGCCCGTGACAGGGAAAGTAATAATGAAAGTATCAAATGCCAAATTATGTCCTTAGTTCTCAGAGACTGTTTTTAAGTGTGAGATGACATATCCCGTGGTAAACCTGGTAATGGCACACAGTGGTGAAGATGATGTTAAAACTGATATAAAATGTACAATATATTTATTAAGATATATACATGTAGCATTGTATCAGTATACACATATACTTTTGGCTCAATTAATTGTCATTTTTCAGGGTGTTTTTTGTCTTTCTGTACAGTGTTAATTGGAAAGTAGGAGAATTTTGATAAATGGGCGATGTAGGAAAACTACATTAGTAAATGTACAACATTTTATGCACATTTTCAAAATCAATCTGACACTGTCATTTATCAAGCTAATGTTTTTTTGTTGTTGAATTCATTGTTTGTTTAAAATGCATGCAATGCAATGAATTATTAAATCAATGCCTCTGACATGCCTAATTGATGTGAGATCTAGAATTTTTTTAATTGACATTTTTGTGTTGTTTATTTTAAAATTGTATCAAACAAGCACAATCGCAAGTTGTACCTGGCACAAAAAGTAAAAATATCTTCAAATTCTCTTTGTTTTGGCAAATAATTTTTTGCAGATTTCGAAGAAAAAATAAAGAAGTGGGTTAAATAAATTGAAATATATTCAAATATCCATTCCAATTTTATTCTGGAATAGATCTTTGCATAAAAGTATTGTCTATTGACTATTCATCCTTGTCGAGAATTAATAAATATTGGTTTATTGATATGCGTGACAAATGAACTGTAAATGCTTGTTTGACTAATTGAAAATGTCACCTAGAACTTAATGATGAGGTTTATGTATACAGTACATTATCCGAGGTTTGGGAGCTTAACACATCTAATGCAAATACTGATAGTAAAAGGGGTCTACACCAATAGAATAAAGCTCGATAAAGAATTAAACACCTGGCGAATTTATAAATCTATAAGTATGATTTGGTGCCAAGGGCCATTTGTCCATCGCATTGTACGAATAATGAGAAGAGAAAGTGTTTACTGGTCAAGAAGGGGCGAAGTGTTGAGTAAAGGTGTTAAAAGCAGGCCGGATTTTACATGCTCCAATGCCTCTCAATGTTAAGTTATTATTACGGATTAAGTAGAAAACATTTGGTTCCCCTGGATAGTGCCATCGTATTCTTAATATTTAATCGTACAGCTGTTGCCCATACATTCCTGTATACCTGTGTACATTTCATTGTAAAGCCCTTTAAAATAAATCATGTTCCCAGTGAATTCCAAATTTTTTGTCATCTGGAAATATATATATAATATTTACAGGCTTGAAACTTCATGTTTTATATGTTGAAAAATTATGTGAAATGGTTCGTAAAAAATTTCATTAACCAAACTCATGAATATTAGAAATGTAAATTTATTGCTTCAATTTTGAGTGGACCACTGGGGGGTTAATTGCGATTCCTGATTTAGTGAAGTAAAATTTAAATTTGAACATGTTGAATGTATCATTAACACGTGCCAGAACTACACATTACCTGTCCTGTAATGAACTTTACATCTGCATCTCAGAAAAACAAAATGATTTAAAACTGAATTTATTGTTTAAATTAAAAATTAAAAGGGATATATTCTAAAATTGGCCATTAGAGTTTTGCAACCAGGTTCAACATAAGAGTTCACATAAGTTTGCTTTTTGACATCTTTATTTTATTGTAACTTAAGGGGACAGGGTTTACATTTTTATTGGTGTTTCTATAATCCCCGCAGACTCAAAGACTGTAACTTGATAGTAGCTGTATTTGTGGGGTTTTTTTTCATGGATGCCTCATTTTAATTTACATACAAAAAATACTGGTTCAAAGCTGACCAGAATTTGGTTTGGCAAGGTGGTAGTTAGATAGGAGATTTATAACTGTTGGTGTGTTTGATGTTGGTTTTAATATTATTTAATGCTGAATGATCAAATTGGTGGGTTTTTTCACAGGATCAGTTTTCCTTATAAATTGATACCTTTTCTGTTATGGGTCTTTTATTGAAGACTGTATATATGGCTCAGATGTTGGGACTGAAGAAAAAAGAGGGGGAGGTGTGCTTGTGTAGAGAATTTATGGCCAGGACATTCCACTGTGTAATACAAATTGGTTTGGGTTTTTTCAAGGTTGTATAGTTTTATGTAAATGATTGGGAATGGTTGAACCACCCAACTTTTCATGTGTTTGGCAGGTTTGTCAGGGTAAATAGTAAGACCACTCATTTCCTCTGCATTGTTTTGGGGTGATTAGACTGCACCTGCAGTTTATAAACCTGATATGCCTATCAAGTGCCTATCAAATACACCAAAAATTTCCCGTGATTGCTGAAGGAATCTTTAAATTTAACTGAGATTTTTTTGCTCTATTCGTTTTTCTAAGGAATATCTGTTGCAGTTTCAGCACACTTGATTTGAACCGTAGAGAATGCATGTTTAAAATTTCAAATTTTTTTGTAAAGTGCAGTTTCAAAAATTGGCAAATAAAAATATTGACTGGGCAATAGTGTAAAGTGTCAGAGATATTGACTGGGCTTTAGTGTACGTGTCAAAAATAAGGTGTGTTTTATGTACATTGTCAATACGGGAAGGATTAAAAAACTTGAACTCTTTATATTGAAATTGGGGGAAACTGTGACGAAATCTTAGCAAAGTTGCATTTATTAATCCACATTAAATGTGTCAAGTCATAGCACAGAAAAACAGGTATCAGGGTCTCCGTTTATTTCAATATGTGCAAAAGCATGTTGATTTTTGGTAAAAAGATGTTTTAGATTTGGATATATATATTCATATATTTTATTATTCTATCCCAAAGTCTGTAATGAAAAATGCTTTTGATAAATAAATTGTGCTTTCTATTGAAAACAACTGAATATATATATAGATAAATTATTTGTGCAGAATATGCAGTTTGTAATATTACTTTTTACTTGACAAAAGATGTTATAAATCTTAATGTGTGTCTAGTGCTTCAGCGTATTGTTGACTTTATATGTGTTGAGAAACCCTTCTGTATCACGGTTACCAGTAAAATTTACAGCCCCTGCAAAGAGATTTTATGTCTGAATTCTAAGTTCTATGTACAAATTTCCTGATGTTTTAAGGTGTGAATGCACAGATTCAAAAGAATTTTTCTCAACTTTGTGTAAACTTTAAAATAAAAACAGATTTTATTATTTTTTTTACATATTGTAAAACTTGACAATTCGTGCCATGAATATCAATAAGTATATAAACATTAGGTATATTTGTTATAACATCACTTACATTTTTTTTTTTTTTCACATTGATATAATTAATTTTATGATTTTTTTTTTTTTTTTGCAGAGACATCAGCTCCAATGATCTTCACTTCCTAAATGACAGTGTATTTGAACATCTCACATCTTTAGAAATTTTGTAAGTATATGGCAATTGTTAACTTAAATTTCCATCAATAAACAGTATACACACACAGGGGCCTCGTATGATGTTCCGATTTAGTATCCAATAGCTTGTTTGATAGGTTGTTGATACCTTTGTTTTGCGGCATATTGCAACAGCCATACAGAGACAGAATAATCAAAATTCCTGGATATCCCTGCGAACTTTGTCGGTGATTGCCATATAAAAAGATAAATGTCTTCTTGACATGGTATTGAAAGCAGTTTTGTGTCGACATTGGTTTTTTAAACACACCGCTTGTAAATCTACAAGTGTTATAAATTGGCATCTTTAACTGTGAAGCTAGAAAGAAAATTTTTTTGGAGGTTATTGGTGCATGTGTGAAGTAAATATTTTGTTATATGTAATAACTCTTGAGATGGGACGTTTTTGTGTGGTCCACGTACAGACTTGATGATGCTTGTTATCATTAGCACCTGACAGGTGAAACAATGATCAAGAAGGCCAACCAAAGTTAAAGGTTTGGTTTACGATGGGAGGTGGGGGGTGTTGTTGTGTTACATTTTATTTTGTTTCGTTTCTCCTTTGATATAAAGTTCTAATTTTCTTTTCTAGGAAAATCAACCACAACAAACTCAATGAAGTGCCTAAACTAAAAGGACTGGGAAAGCTGAAAGTTTTAGAATTGTAAGTGATGTGAATTAATTAACAACTTCCCATAAACTACGGCATATTCCTTCATATATATGTCTGTTAAAAAGTTTTATCTCCTAAAATGGAAGTGAAATCCTTATAGAATTTACAACAGGTAATAGAAAAACATCAAAGGTGTAAAAAAGGATATTAACAAAGATTGAGAAACACATTTTGTTAATGGGATGCACAATAAAATTCAGTGCAAAGCGATAACATCAATTGTTACTACCCTGATAAAAATCACATGCAGTGATATGGAGTCAATGTGTATTGTACAGGTATGCAGAGTGGCTGGCCAACCCAATTTATCAGGTATCCTGCCAAAAAAATTAAACCTGAATCAACAGGTGAATGTTTGGATTGACAGACGGGGGGTTATCTGAACCGTCCAAGCCCTAAAGTCGGCCAAGGGGAGGTCATCCTGAATAAATAGATATTTTAGGCTGAAATTTTTGTTTCAGTGTGTGGTCTGTTGTCACCAACTGTTTAGATATCCTCATCTGTGTCTCTGTTTGTTATACCCTCCCCTTTTTGCAGAAATTTGAGAGGGACGTTTATCTTAACAGTGCATGTCATAATTTTATGTGAAAGAGAGAAAGAGATAGAGAGGGGTTTTCTTTCCCAAAGCCCCCATTGTACTTCAGAGTTAGCGTATAAGATACAGAAATTTTTCTCATGCAAAAGTTGAAATAAAAAAAATCCTCTAAAAATATTTATGAGACTGACAAGCCATGTCTAGTATCCATGTATTTTCAAATGGATATATGAAAATGGAAGGAAAAAAAGTCAGATTATTTAGGAGTTGTAGAGTCATAAAAGCTGAAATTACAAGCCATTGTTAGTTTGAGAATTGTTTAAAATTGTTATGGCTTTCATTTATCTTAGTTAGGCCTTAGAGTATAGTCACAAGAGACCATTAAAATATAAGGGAATGGATGGATTAGTGACAGTAATGTTGTAATCCAGGGGGAGTAAGCGTGATGAAATGTCGATCATGTGCTGAAAACTCCTCGTAAAGCATTCCCTGGAAATCAATTTCTGCTGGTGCAAATGGCCTGCGTAGGGTTACGTAATGCTGCCAAGAACCCAGTTTTTTAGGGGGGTATGTGGATGCATGGGCAAAACAGATAAGATACAGACATTCATGTCTGCAGTCATTTTTTGATCCCTGGTGAAAATTGACCATGTGTGAACAGCTGATGGAGGGAAATAATATTTCATTTATTGTTTATTTTATTACACGGCTTTCAAGTTGAATTTGTTTAGAGTAGGCATGAAAGATGATGATCAAGTTATATCCACATGCATTTCTTCTCTATCTCTAGGAAAACTTTCTCTCTCAAGTTTTTCAATGATTAATGAAGATTGGTGAAAGAAATGTACGTATCGATACTCTGATACTCCACTTGATGTGACCGAAAGCAAAACGTTGAAAGGTCTTCATGCATACAGTTTGCATTATCAAGAAGCAGAACATTTTATCTGTTATATTGTGTAATAGGGGATGATGTAATTTTGATGGTGTCAGTAATGATATTCAGATGTTAAAATATTGGCACATAATTGTCACAGTGTTGCTATAATGATAAAAAGGTTTTATATACAACATTTGAACTGTTCTGAAGTTTTTAAGTATGTACAGATCTTCAGATTTTATGAACATCCCCCCCCCCAAAAAAAAAAAAAAAACAAACAAACAAACAAAGTTTTTGACTGATGAAATATTTGTATTTTTCAGAAACCATAACCACATAGGAACCCTGGTTCCAGAGTTCATGGTTCACATGATCCAGCTAACATCCTTGGAACTGAACCACAACTCACTAACGGACATAATACCAGGGGTGTTCCCAGCCAACAACTCACTTCAGAAACTGTAAGTCAGCTAAACAATCTGTCGTAAAGGGAGGGGGGGGGGGGGGGATAGAAAAAAGTGTGTTTGTTGAGTAGTAAGGAAAATGTTAGTCCCAGAGACAGAGATTTATGGATTTCTTGATTTTTAAAGGTTGCTTCAAACCTTTGCAGTTTATGGTAAAAATGAAGAAAAACATGAACTGAATAGAAACTTTTTGTAAATTGATTATGCTCTTTCAGTATTAAAAGAGTAATAAAAATCAAAATTATAGATTAATCTCAATTCGGATTAGCTCTTTCCCCTATTATAAAACATGTTTAACATCAGCCATCAATCTTGTGTGAGAGCCCAGGCCCCTTCATGCTAGACAGTCCCCAGATTTCCTGTTATTGTTTTATATGGTATGTGAAAATGTGGAGACAAAGCTTGTCTGAAGACCTAATGCTGGAGTCTGGCGTGTACCAGGTAGAAATGTGAAGGTACACTAGGTGTGAAGTCTCTAGACAAACTACTAAAGGGTGTGAGAAGTATAGCAATACAAATGTCTGCTGATTATATAATGTGTATTATGGTACGGTAAAAAAAGCAACATGTTATTAGAGGTGTTAAAAGAATGGAAGACTTAAAATTAAAAAAAAAAAATGAAATTGATGAAGTGTTGAAAATCGGAGACGGAAAGTTTGACAGGGAATTTGATGAATGTGGAATTCTTCCAGGCCAGGCAGACTGGAGATAGGGAGGGTGATTTTTTTTTAAGGGGAGGGAATGGAGTCTGGGGTTAGATGCGAAATGATCCTTACAGTGATATTTCGGCCACATTTCAGACTTTCAATCTGACTGATTACTAAGTGCAGACATGTAACAGACGTGTTTTCTTCTGTGTGGCCCCCGGTACCCAGCCATGAGGCTTAGCACTCTTTTTGCCTTTGATATGGTTTAATATTGACAAATTCTAACACCTCGATAATCTCTTCAAAGTCTGATCTTGAAGCACCACAGTAAATATGTTTTACAAGGTGATACTACGTGTTGTCTTTTGATCATTGGAAATCAATGAGGAGGTGCCGTTTCTTATCGACCCCTCCGGTTACAAAGAACAAATAACCTGAAATTTAATGACACTACAAACAAAAAAGTGAGGTGTCCCAGTAAAATTATAGTTATTTATATAACAGATTGGGGCCTTCTGTCTTTTCTTACCACATCACAAAGTAATATGAAATGTTAGGGCTCTGGACAAATGGTGAATTTTGATATGTAAAGGAGGGCCAGTATTTTTTTTTTTTTTTTATTAATGTGTTATGTTTTTTAGCATCAAAACAAATGGTTAATGACGCTCAGAAACTAAATCTAAGATTTTAAAGTTTTTTTTGCCTGTATTGAGTTCTGCGTTTGACCCACTCTTTTTCTGGGACAACACCTGTTGATGGTGTCTAGAATTAAGGAGAGTCTAATTCATTAAGGTCCCTTGTGATGACATATAATGTACCACATTTCCCTGTTGAATGTTAAAAAACAAATCTCTATTCTGATTTACAGTGATTAGAAAATGGCTTTCTACCATTCTTTTCCAAATACCATTGCTTAATGCCTAGAGCACAATGGAAATGATCCAGATAAATTTTTTGTCCTCACATTTTAACCCTTTAGTTTTGAAACTTGATGCAGAAGTCCAAACTCTTTTTTTATATATATATACAACATTAAAGGCTATCAGATTTTCTTTTTATGGAGAAAAAAGTACAAAAGAGTAAAGAAAAAAAAAATCCACATTACAAATTTTATAATCTGTAAAATGTCTGGCACTTATTTGGAGAAAACATGTCTAGCAAGTTTCACAAATATACAACCAAAAAATAAAAATAAATAATTGATCAAATTATAAAAATTAATATGATTAATCCCAGTACTCATGGTAATGTCCTCTATTGAATTTGTTGATGATGATGATGATGGTGATAAAGCTTCCTCCTTCCTATGATGATTATGAAGTTAAAGAAATAAAAAAATTACATTCAGTACACATTGTCTTATTACCTTGGACTTTTTTAACAGGGTCCAAGAACAGCTGTTATTCATAGAAGAAATTTTATGTAAATTTAAAAAAAAAAAAATTAAACAATATTTGATCACTTTTTTTTATAGAGTCCTGAATAATAATTACTTGGAGTCTTTCGAGTCGAACTGCTTTGACAACCTGACATCTCTGGAGGTCCTGAAGATCAACAAAAACAAAGTGACCACCATCTCCAAAGACATCTTCAAGAAGCTGAAAAATCTGGAAACTTTGTAAGTCAACAGAATATGACTTTGACATTTTAGCATCATAGTCTTCAATTCTCATCTTTATTGTAAGTCATTGTACAACTTTCTGGCGTAAAAACCTATGGAAAAATGTTGAGGAAAGGAAAGTTGGAAACTTGTATGATTTTGAAAATTTAATGGGCATCTTATGTCTCATTGCTTAGTTTATGTATTTATAATTTGAAAGTAAAGTTTCTGTGACTAAATTTGACTAAAATTGTCTTATGATTGCTGACATGTCAAAAAGAAAAGAGAATTTGTGACTTGACTTTGCAATATAAGACAATTTGGGAAATGGGGGAACACAGAGCTAAAATAGATACAGTGGTATTTAAAGGGGAGACTTTGCAGTGATGTAACTATTAAGTCGGGTCAGGAGACATATCAGAATTGAGATATTGGTCTGGGAGATGTGGTGACAGTTGATATAATTGTCAGGAAAATGGTATAATTGGGGTCCTGGCATATTGTTAGTGATGTAATGGATATTTATGAACTTTTAGGGGGTTGTTGATGGAAGGAAAATTATCCCTAAATAATCACTGATGATTGAAATGTCGTGTCAGTTAGTCTAGAGGCTGGATTGGTTTAATGGGGAGTTATATTGTTTATAGCGTATAATTTAAATGACCCAGAGATATATTCATTTATTGGTATATATACATATATAAAGGAACTCTGTTACAGTTTTTTGAGTACTGAATTTCTAATTGCATGAATTAAAAAATTATAGAAATGTAGAGAAGGAGCAAAAATTTGAGGGAGGTTGGTTCTGTTTAAAGAAACACAGATATGGGAAATATTTTTTTGAGTAAAGAAAAATATAAGGAAACTATCAGGCACACCTGTTTCAACATTGAGCGGAACGGTTTTCCTGCGTTATCGTGGCTGTATTACAAGAAAATTGGAGTGATTCCATATCACAAATACATTTCATATTCAATAAAAGTCTTTCTTTGCTCTCCAACACCTGCAGTAAGCTGCGGGTCTGGTAGTGGTATATGGGGGATCGCCCTGTGGAAGGGTGCTAAAATTACCCGCTAATCAATCGGGATGAAAAGATACCTATCTCTGTAAGCTCCAATTAGGAAGATAACTCAACTGAAAGGAAAATAAAATATAGCGAGGAAAATGATAAATATTTCAGTGTTTGGAAAGTGCATGTAGCAGCTGGATTGTTTTGACAAGGGTGATTAGTTGGGGGTTAATAAGATAATGATTAATTTTAGTAATTAAACATATTTAGTTAATCAAAGAACATAAAAGACAAATTTAAAAGAGTGTAAACAAAGAAAATATCCATAGTAGATATTGTTATTAAGTAAAACTTTTGTAGAATATAAACTATCAGGGGCTGAAATTTTTTATAGTATCTTATTAAATACTTTGTTATTCTGTATTAATTTTACAACCAATATCACATAGTGTAGTCAAATATTAAATTAATCACTTTCTGTTTTGCAGGGAGATGACAAAGAACAAACTAAAGAGGATAGGTGGACTGACTTTTCAGGATCTGAAAAATCTGAAGATTCTGAAGCTGAGGAAGAACACGATCACAAAGATTTCTGATGGAGCGTTTTACGGCCTGGACAAACTTGTCACCTTGTAAGTGTGTTCATATTTATTAAGTTCTGAAGAAAGTTCTATACAGACTTTTTTTTTACTTGTATAAACTGTGGTTGTAGCTTTATTGGAGATGTAGAAATTAAGCTGCAGATCTGCAGCTCACTGGTCTGAAAAAAATGGGATGGCCTGTAGCTCTATGGTTGGCCATCCCAGTTTTATTCAGACCAGTGAGCTACAGATCTGCAGCTAGTAGAACTTGTGAACGATGTTACAGAAATAATTTGTAGGGTTCCTAGCTGAGCTTGAATCTGTTACTGCAGGTTATCACAAGTTTATTTTTCTTTTCGGATTTGTGTAGAATAGTTAGATGTAACTGTAAGTATTGACAAAGTGTGTAGGAGAGAAACATTTGTTTTAGTGATTTGTTATCAGACTCAGCTCTCTTAAGAGAGAGAAAGAGAGAGCACAGCAAAATCTAAAAATGTTCCCCCCTAACAAAAGGCAGCACATAAACTGGAAACAGAGGGAAAAAATCATTACACTGGAAACGAAGGGTTTGAACATAAGACAGATCATCCACATATTGGTTGTCTTTTCAATATTTTATGTGTAATGATTAATGTTAAAGCTTCAGTGGATATCTGTATTATGAATTAAGGTTCACAAGTGCTAAGTTTTTAAAGTTTTGGTACAAATAACTAGATAGGAGGAAATTTGTTCTCATCTAGGCGGAAGTTAGTTCTCCTCGTGCCTGGCTACACTTGCGACCAAAAAACAAACTATTTACTCAGGCAGGGCATGACTTCCTTCCCCTTCAAAAAAAAAATGATGAATACAACATCTGGCTGAGTTTAATAAGGGTTGATATGAATTTGATATGTGATGCCTGATAATGAATCCCTTCACACCCAGAGATTGGCGATGAAACCATAAAAACATATGCTCGTTAGTGGGGCACAGACAAAAACTGGTATTGTGAAGCAAGGCCATGGAGAAAAAGTGAAGAAACGCCAAAAACTGTGGGAATCTTTGCCAACTTGAGGGCAATTCAATATATTATTGTAGAAGTTGTAGTTTACAAACTCTACAGTTATTAAGTTAAACAAACTTGAATGCACTGTCAGTTGTTGAGAAGTATTAATTTTTTATGCTGAGAATTTCTATAAACACAAAATAAAGAGATAATACAGTTGTATAACATGATGTATCAAAGGCAATTTTTTTTAATTTTTAGGCAATTGGAACATAACAATATGACACGAGTGACCCAGTCGTGGCTGTATGGATTAAAGGGCCTAAGAGAGATGTAAGTGTGCATATTGTTTTAAGGACTTCTACTTATAATAATACTCCATCCCTCAATATCCTAATGTCCAGCAATTCTACCAGCCAGGTATCTAAATGCATTATAATGAATCTAGTGAAATAAAACATTCTTGAAGCTATTGTAGGATAAGAGAGAGAGTAAGTCATTCTTATCATAAGACATGATAAAGTGTTCAGAAAAATGGGGAAAACTCAGGTACAAAGGGAAAGAAAAACAGAATTATTGAATCTAAAGATCTGCAGCATGTGGAAGCTGTCGGAAATGATGGGGGGATGTTTACAGGCAAACAACCAGCGGAGGGCTAGTTTGGTGTGTTGACCGGTGTTTATTTGTGATGCACTGACACTAATCACTTGATTATTGGTGATGATAGCTTTGTCTGAATGGACGGCTTCAAGGCAGAAAATACTACCTCAAAGGGAGGAAGTTGTAAAGATCTGAGGGTGCCGATGGTCTTCTAAGGGGGGAAAAAAAAATTCTTGGAAGTCTGTCCTTGAGTTTTGTTATATTGAGTTTTATCAGGTGGTTACCGCTACGTGTTTAAAACCATGCGAATGATAAATAAGTGCATAATGATAATGTAGATTATAATAATTAAAAATACATTCTGAAATATATGCAAATAAAGAACTTACATGCATGATGTTATATTGCTTAGCATTTATAATTACATGATTTCTTGATTATTAAATATTCTGCAGATTTAATTACTTCTGTACAAGAATGGAGAAAATTAACTTTCTTTTGATTTTAGAGATATGTTTGTAAAGAATTGAAACAGTGCAGGTTAAGAAGGAAAAAAAAAAATTACAATATAAATATTATCATTCTTTTAAAAAGAGAGAGAGAAAAAAAGGAAATTTAATTTGTAAAGGTATTTTCAGGACATGATATCATTTTTAACCACCATTCATCCTATTTCTGTCGAGTCCTCTTCATTTTCTTTGGCATCGACTTGAAAACATCTGATCTTCCCTGGAAGCAGTGCGATCTGTCATCAACCCTGTAATTGACTTGGAAACCAGCAAAAAAACTCAAAATCAAATATTATTTTAAACCAGCTGCTTCTTGCTGGTACATTTCGCTGATCTCTACCTTATGTAGTGGTGTTCGCTGTCTTCTTAATTTCAGTTCTTTTTCATGGGAAATTGAAAAAGGGGGTTGTTGATTACAATTTTTTTTGTAAATTATAAATTTGTGGGGTCCCCTTAATATAATATGAACTTGTTACTGATTATTCAATCCATTTTGGGAGGGCAAGGATTTTATTTAAGAAATTAGGTTGTATTGATAGGAATCTCTAACCTTGATGCAACTGACTTCAGAGAAATATAATTAGATGTCGTATTTAATATTCAAAAATTCAATAAATGGTTGGAAAGCGAAGTGCTAGGTTTGGTTATTGTAGCATATGTCTGGAACACATTGTTATTGAATTAATTTCATGGCTCAGCATTTTCAATATATTTACATCCTCGCTTATTGGACCCCACTTTCACACCATCACAATGGGGGGACAAAGGAAAGCCACATTTCACTTGTAAGAAGGGGATCCCCTGGACAAAAGTGGAATTAATTTTTCAGCATTATGAATTCAGTTGTGAAAGTCTTCATCGACAGAAATTTCCATTTCAAAAGAGTTTTATGACGGATCCCACACTCTGCAGGGTTTTATGTTAAGAAAGAAAAAAAAAAACGAAAGCAAAGAAAGCATTGACGCTCGTCAAAGAAATAAGCCAGGGAAGAGAAGATATTGGTTGACCTTTCGAGAGTAGAGATAGTGTGTGACTGTAGTGTACCGGCTTGGTATTTTTGATGAAGTTTCTTTTTTCTGTTGGGCCATGGAGAAAAAAAAAGTATATCTTCTCATTAAGTGAAGATCATCAGTATTTTTATCGTCTGTGATGCAAAGTTATCAGAAAAATTGGAGCCAGTCTACACTTTTGTGGGAACAGTTGAGAGATAGGGTACCTAGTCCCCCCTTCAACAAAGCTACATATTGTGTAAATTTAATTAGCCATGACGTTTGCTTATTTATTGGTTTTAATTACAAATTAATTAAAATTTATAGGGAAAATGAAATGATGTGTAGGAAATTCAAGTATTCTTAGTTCAAATTTAAGCAAACTGCCAAAGATTATATAGTCTAGAGAGGTTTTATTTAAACATTAAGATAGTACCATATGTACTTTAAAAAAGGTAAACTGGTACTAAAACGAGAGAGAAAAAAAACCGAACAGACAAAAGCAAATAAAATCATTATTAAACTGCGTGAACAACAATTAAGTTATGAAACAGAGCAAATTGTTTACAGTTTAGTTTATGATGTTAAGTAGAAGTAAGGTGTCTAATATAAGTATAGCAATTAAATTGTGATAGGAAGAAAGGCTCATGCAGTGTCAACTTCTCGTTCACTCTGTCAGGTGCAGCGTGTGAAAAGGATCTGCAAGGGTTATGTACAGGTCTAATTTGTCTCTCTCTGTGTGTAGCTCTTATGTCTTTGAACCTACAAAACTCCAACAATTGCAAATGATGTGGTTTTTCTTTCATTCTGGCAACCAATAACAGAGAGAGATCTTGAGTATGTATCATTCATAATCCCTGACACAGTTTCAAGGAAGACAAAAATAAGTCTACATGCACATTTTTCATGCGGTCTCGTAAAATTGTAGGCCCGACATGGAGATTTTTAATTGTCTTATTCTTTGCTTGGTTTTATTTTCTTAATCTGGCCGTTTTTCTTTTATTGTGTTTTATTTATATCAACCTTCTGAGATGTTTATGTTTCATGGGTCAAAGGAGTTAACCTCTTGGCATTTATGAAAAGATTTTTTTTCCCTTCTATTTGGAATGGCCACAGAAGGAAGATACAAGATGTAGGGGGCTGTTTTGAAGATGAAACAAACTTGTATAACTAGGTTGTTTACATTAAGTGCTAAAACATTTAGGAGAATGATTATAAACACTTCTTTTATTATGATTTACCTTCAAGAACTTTGCCCTTTTTAATAATTGGTTACAAATGTATGAACTTTCGATACTTTGGAGAAAAAGTTTTTTAAAAAAAATTTATCAGGGAAATGTTATCTTTTTATCAGTGCAGAGTGTGAAGAAAATCTCCAATCTCTTGGCAAAAAAATGTATAAGCTTGTGCGGTGATCTGTGAACTTGGAGGTCGAAAGTGAGATTTGTGCACAAATGCAAACTGTTGAGAATTGTAGATTACCCCCCAGCTGAAACTGTGTATTCTATTTCACCGCCCGTCATCTGAACAAATTTGATTAGGGAAAGGATCTAGTCTGAGAAAACGTCTGATAATCTCTGACAGGAGGATAACGACATTTCCAGGTGTCGAAAATATAAAAAAAAATATTGATGGAATTCGCAGGCTCGGAGACCCTATCTCTCTTCTCTTGTTTTCACAAAAAGTATTTTGCCAGGTGTCCTTGTCTCAGAATTTGGGAGGAAATATTTTTTTTCTCAGGCATTTTTCATCTGTGGATTTTATTTTTTGTGTTTTGCAAGTATTGGGTGGGACCAGAATTGGAGGTTTCTGCAAATATTACCCCTATAATATATCTGAAACAGACTTTGATAATTACTGTCATTAATATAATTGCCTATTCTGTGAGCCTGCAATATAATTTGTCTCATCTGCTTGGACAAAAGTTTGTTCCCATGAAATTTGATTTCGATTCACATTAGATTTAAATAAGTTAGTGATTCCCTAAATCCCACGAGGTCAATAATTAAGAGATATAAAAATCTCGGAGAACGATCTTTCCCTGTTTACATAATTTCTCTATTAAGATGCAAAAGGCTGCTTGCGAGCACGAAATTTAATCCCTTCTTTTCGAAAGACTTGATATGTGTGACAGTTTTCTATGAAACATGACACCCAGAATTGTACAAGTAGAAAGGAAAGCTTGTCCATACCGTGCATTTACTCTCTACTTAATATGTAAATAGATCCCTCTAACGATATTTATGACTTTTATGGTTAACATCATAGGTCCGATCATCTTTTTTATCATTCTTCGAGTTTATTATTCCCAAGATGTAAATAAAATTACAGGCACACACACACACACGTACTAAAAAAAAAAAATAATTTTGGGGGTTATAAAATGGCCTTAAGTTGTGTATATTAAATTGTTCATGATAGTGGGATAAAAAATTCTGTAATAAATATTCATTTGACCAATTTATTCGTGTTATCAAGGTTGTGTATACTTTATTGCATTGTTAAAAAAAGTAACATTGATTATAATAGTTAGAATATTGTTATGCTCATAAGATATGGGAATGATAAAGTCTTATTTCAGGAAGTAAATATTTATTTTGTTTTTCTTTTTAGAAACCTTGCACACAACAAGATAAAGACGATTGATCCAGAGGCTTGGCAAGGGTGTGTTTCAATTGACACAATGTGAGTATTCATCAAAATTCTCAAGAGCTCATAACAAAACAATGATTTAAAAAGAAATAACATTTCCAGAAAGGTTAAGCATCTAGGTAAAACTTTTGTCCAATTAGAATCAAAGTTAGGCAGGAAAAATAAAATTGATGCTCTCCATAGGGAAACCATGTTTGGACCAGTTACATTAAGGTAATGACACTTCAGTGATGGGGAAAATTATATATTTAGTCCTTCCTAGTTGTATAATTTTGTAATTTCTGAATTTGAATTGGTAGCTGATATTCAAATTTCAATCTTATAAACTTTTTTCAGCTTCTCTTCAAAAACAAATTAAGGAATTTGAATAAGATGGCAACATTTGGTGTAATTTTTAAGGCCTTTCAATAGTGAATTTGAATTTCAAACATGCCAGAGTACCAACTTTTCTATCCTGGTTCATATTAGCATAAAACAGTCATTGAAAAATAGGGGTCCTAAATCCATGTTGAGTGATTCACCAAGAGGGCCAGAGAAAAAATTTCCTTCAAAATTACTTTTCCATTTGCCAATTTAAATTAAGGAGGAATTGATGGGAGGTGTTGCTCTGTTGTAAACATGGTAATCCGCTTAATACATTCTGTGTCTGACTGGGAAAACATTTCAGCCTTTTTTTTTTTTTTCATATTTTCATTACAATTTTCCTTGGTGCTGGTTGACATTTTCACGGTTCTGCGATTTCGAGGTCAGGAATGTGTGAAAGAGAAATGCTTTCATTATCACTTGGGGGCAATGTTAGATAACTGGGGGTGATCTATTTTAGCATCTCCATGGTTTAAGAAAAGAAAAATGAAAATATAACAAGTCTCAGATAATCCAACTGTTAAAATAGCACTGGGTGGAGGGAGGGATGGGGGTGGAAAGTTAAAAATGAGAGAGAAAAAGGGAGAGATAGAAATTTATTCAAGACATGAATTGTCCAGGTTCGATAGTAAAGGGGTTTAGAGTTGGCAATTTTCATGCAGGATTGCTGGATGCATCTGATGCATATCGTGTGTTCTGTGTTTTGAGATATGAATACACTACACATGCAAGATTTAGTCAGTTTCCATAAGGCAAACTTGCTGCCCACACTATTGTACAAGAGCACCATATGTTGAATGTAAAATTTTAATTGCTACATTCTTCAGAGACACATGTATAATTTTTTTTTCTCAAATTCTTAGTCATTTGCTGTTTTCGAATGGCTTGTACCTGCTTTCTCCATTCATGAATAAAGTCCGCTAGTTATGTAACAGGTGTTTTGTGTAAGTAGTGCATTTTGATGATTTGTCAGCCAGGACTAGGAGAAACAATGTTAATTGGAGGACTCTTTAATGAGAGATTCGACTAATTTCTCTACTTTCATAGCTCAGCAGGTTGACACTATTAGTCGGCAAGGTTTTTAGCATACAAGAAAAATTCTTGCCTTGTTTAGGAAATGTGTGCTCATTAGCGCTTTCAAAAAAAAAAAGAAAAAAAAAGTAGAGATACTATTTTGAGGCTTGATCGACATATTCTGGAATTGACAAAAAAATATCAAGATATAGATTTTAACAGATGGACGATTATTGCACACAAGTAACAATATTCTTTGAAATGTTGCTTAACAAGTCCATAAATTTTATTCCCAGTATACATCCTTTTTTTATATTATCTGTGTTTTATGATTTTTCTTTTCCCCTCTGAACATCTGGTATGACTAATTAGTGAAATTAATCGGCTTTTGTTTGGAGATATTCCAAGGATAAAGTTTATGGCTTGGAAAAAAGTTAGATAAAACCATACCATCCTCTGGTTTAATGTTCTAGGCATTGGGCTGTATATTGTAAACATATGATGAATCTTTAGTGCATGTTGCTTCTTAATGTCAGGCTATGCTTCAGAATAAACAAACTGAATTCAATATTGATATAATGTAACAGTTATTCTATTACCGGTGAACTAATATTATTTATTTGGTGTAAAGGCTAAAGCAGATATAATATTTGATGGAAATTTTCCCCAGTAATTTTTTTTTAAATGACACAAATCTTTGAATTGTCGGTCAGGAAATTCCTTGTGTCTCATTTTGCAGAGTTAATTAAGTTATACATTTTGTGGATTCATTGCAAAAAGTGTCATGTGAAATGCTGCAACTTACAACCCTATCCTCCCACTCCAATTAGTGCCATCAGGAAAAAAAACCCTTCTCATTCATGCATGTATTTTCTTGTCCAGTTCCCGAAGGATTAAGAAGTCATCTTTAGTTCAAATTACTATGCAGAGTTTGGAGACAATTAGTATTTGACCGAGGCTATTCACCTTTCTGTCCCCCTTTTGTTCACTCAGAATTCTGAAGTGTGATTGGCACTTGAGGGATAAATCGATTTAAAAATATCTCACAGGTGTTACCCAGTGTGTTGGTGCATATTTTATGATGAAAGTTTTGAGTTAAGGATACTAGAGTTTGATTTAGCTGCTGAGGACTAAGATAGGGTCCGTTACGGGAATGAGGACAGAGGTGTCACAGTGCTGTATTTAGAAGGGGGCTTGGTCCAGTGTTTTGGGTGGGGGGGGGGGGGGGAGGGATCAGTCACTATTATCTGTAAACAGATATGCCCTTCGTGAAGGGTGAACAATGGTGACCTGGTTTTTAATGGGTAGGGAACTGTTCCTAATAATTGTCAAAGTTTTATTCTTGCTGTCAAATTATTTACATCTCTATCCATGTGGCAGGGAAGTAATTACAGCACTGTACAAGAGGAGGACTGGTTGTTTACAAAGGATCTGATCAAACAATATAAATTTACATTCATCTCTTATATTGATCAGTATGTTTGTGAAACTTATTTTGAAAGGGTTATTAATTTTGATTCAAATTTTTCCTCAAATCTTGCAATAATATACAGCTGTCATTGTGCAATCATTTTTGGTAAAGATATTGAAAAAAATGCTTCACAAAATATCATTGATTGATTAAAAAAGTGAAATATAGGAGTGGAATTTAATAAAACTTAATATTTTTTCTCTGCAGAGATTTATCTAACAATAGACTGGTTACTATCAGCAGTCAAGCTTTCTCAAAGCTTGGTCATCTCAAGAAGCTGTTCCTCAATAGTAATATGATCACCAACATCCAGGATGGAGCATTTCAGCATCTTCAGGAGCTAGAGGAGCTGTAAGTATTGGGTGGATCCAAAAATTTACGATTTTGATAATACAGTCATATTCATAATTGCCTGGGGAAAAAAAAACTGATATGAAATTTTCAAAAATATTATTATATATATAAGGGCAAATGATTCACAAAATAAAATTTTTCTAGAAATTGTGCATGTTTGCACAAAAAGCAAAGTAATTTTCTGGTTGAAAGGTTTTTAAGTCGTATTTTGATTACTTGTAGGGAACTAAACAATAATGACTTATCCTGGACCATAGAGGACAAGTCTGGTGTGTTTGTGGGTCTGGTTAAGCTGATGAAACTGAAACTGGAAAAGAACAAGATCAAGTCAATAGCTAACGATGCATTCAAAGGGTTGACCAACCTACGGGTTCTCAGTTTGAACATGAACAACATCACGTCTATCAAGAACAATGCCCTGGAGAGCATGATCTCCCTACAGCAACTGTAAGTCACTGAAGACTGTGTGTCAAGAGAGATAACTCTTGGGACGAATTAGAATATGACTAATGCATAATGTGTGTATTTAAACTGCTGCAGTATCATGATCTGTTGTCAGAAAGCCTTATTTAAAAAATTTCTCAAGTCTTGAATTACAAATATTACTTTTGCAAATGTAATTATTGTAACAAGGGATTATTCAAACCATTTCTGTCCCACTTAAAATTTACTTGTAATCACAGCTTACATTTAGATAGATTCATTGATCTAACTTTTTGTTTTCTGTTTTGACAGGTACATGAATTCGTCTAGCTTTCTGTGTGATTGTCAGCTTCAGTGGCTGCCCACATGGTTGATTCAGAAAACATTCCACACCATGGTCACCGCTAAGTGTGCTTACCCACCCAAACTCACTGGGAAGAATATATTTCTGGTCCAGGCAGATGAATTCAAGTGTGGTAAGTTATCGCTTGTCATTCAAGTTTTTTGATACACATGTATCAATATGAAGTTGGAATAATCAACTTGGATCCCTAAATGCTGAATCAGGTATGATTTTTTAAATGATAGATTTGCTGACTTATTTTATGTTGTTTTTTTTTTTTTTCAGATGGTGATTTCCTGAAGCCGTACATCACATCTCATCCCAAGACAAGAGTGGCTTTGAAGAATGACAATATAACCTTGACCTGTCAGGCAGTCAGTACAGAGGACTCTGGGACAGTTTTCATCTGGAAAAGGGACAATGTGGTATGTAAACCTTAAAGAAAAATCATAAATGATGTTTTTGCAAATCAGAACTTAATACCTTTGTTGGATCACCAAAGCCAGACAAATACAAAGCTAAATATATAATTAAAGAGTCTGACATAATGGACATTTTTTAAAATGCTAAAATTATTTTGATAAGTGTATTTGTCAGTTGATAGATGTATTGGAAGAATTAAGAGATATTATGTGCATCTTTATTATAAGTAATTCTATTTGACTGTTTACAGTAGTTAACTTCCCTGTTATTGTTTCAGGTGTTGACAGAGGGAATGGACAACACAAAAGAGGCGGGGGTCCTGGGTGATGGGAGATCCATCTATAACTTCACCTCCCACCTCACCCTCAGGAACATCCAGGAGAGGGACGTGGGAAACTTCCAGTGTATCATCACTAACAAGTTTGGCTCCGCCTACTCCAATAAAGCCAACATCACCATTCATGGTAAGTTGTAGGTTTCAGTTGAAATTGAGAATTGTCAAAGACTCCACATATCCGGTAGAATATCTGAAGACTTAATGGGAAGTTTTCAGACTTAATCATCAGGCTTGCATTCAGATATTTGTGGTAGTATAAATGTTTTAATGAGAGCTTACTGAACAAAATTTATCAGAGCATATTATTTTTGCTTTTTGAAAAAGGCAAGGTATTTCCCACTTTGATCCTGATTGAAATATTTGCCATACAAAATGTACTGATTCATATTTATAGAATATCCAGAGTTCATCAAAACTCCCATTAACGTAACAGTCAAGGTAGGAACCACAGCCAGGTTTGACTGCTCAGCAAAGGGAGAACCAAAGCCTAAGATTGTCTGGAGGAAGAACGGGGGAACTTTCCTAGCAGCTAATGAGAACCGATTCCACGTGATGACGGCTGACGATGTGTTCTTCATAGCTCAGGTGAAGCCGGAGGATGAGGGGGTGTACAGATGTACAGCATCCAACTCAGAAGGACAAATCAGCATCAACGTAACATTGTCTGTTCAGCGTAAGTTGATAGATTTTAAGAAAAAAAATATGTTGAAATATTGTAGTGCAGAATAGATTTCGAATGAAATTGAAATTTTCAAGTTGCAATTACTTGAATATTTGATTGTGTGGATATTAAATGAAAAAAACTTCAGTTTGTTGTTTTCAAATTTGAATGATAAATTAATTGAACTTGGATTAAAATACTAACTCTGATATAAACCTCAATTAATGTTCATTCAGAAATCATAACAAGTTAAGTTTTTAAATGTTTCCACATTGTGTTATACAGAACCTCCTTCCTTTACGGAGCCCATGAGGAGAACAAAAATTGTGAATGAGGGACAAACAGCAGTGTTGGAGTGTATGGCAGAGGGTCGTCCTAAACCATTACTCTCCTGGAAGAAGGATAACCGCACCCTGGATCTGACCAACCGCCACTTCCTGGCAGCTCACAAACAACTGCTCATCATCGTAAAGACCACCACAACAGATAGTGGCAAATACACCTGTGAGATGAAAAACACATTGGGAAGCCGCAGTGGAGACACCCATCTTCATGTGCAGAGTCTTCACCATCCTGTCAAATCTAATAACCAGAGGCCTTCATCTGAAGATAGCTCTATAGATGAGTCTACCACAACAGGAATTATTATCATTGCTGTGGTATGTTGTGTGGTGGGAACCTCCTTGGTGTGGGTTATCATTATCTACCATACCAGGAAAAGACATGAGCTATACACGCCCACCTCCACGGATGATTCCCCCATACCAGCTGACTACATGAGCCAGCAGCAGTACGAAGAGGAGGGAGGGGTATACCCTCACCAAGTGATGATGTATCACCCTGGATCTTATCAGCAGTACCAGGAGTATCAGAGCAAGGAGTCGGGGTACGAGTCGTCTTCAGGCAGAATCAGAGCTGCAAGAGCAGCGGCCATCTTCCCCAGTGATGTGGAGGATGGGAACCAGCACCCTGGATCCAGAGTACCAGCTGATCACTCACCAGGTATGGACTGCCACTTTGAAATTAAAGATCTTACATCCAGGAATTGGTATTCAAGCGTGTAGATGTTAGGAATGGGAAATTTTTCAAAAATTATCAATAAAAAAAATATGGTTTAATTCTTTAACTTTCAAACAAATCAAATTTTGTTTTTTCTCTATTTTAGACAACAGTGCTTCATATCCAAACAGTGAAACAGACTCACTCAAAAGTTCTCAGAGCACGAGTAGCACTCACACCAGTGGTCAGCAGACACTGAGGACATTCCACCCAGACATTAGGGAGGTCCCGCAACCTCCCCCTCTCCCCCCTTCAACGAGATCCCAAAACAAGTGCTCAGAGCAGAGTTATTGTGAGAACTGTGAATTGTGTAGAGGTGAACAAAGTGACTCGCATAAATGCCAAAGTTTAAACAGACATTCTTTGCTGAATGGCACATACTCAAATGGATTATCGCATCCAGGAGTCCATCACGGTTCACTTCCTCAGCCCCCTGGTGGTAGTATTAGAGGTTAGTATTGTCATGGAAACGATCAGAAGTGGGTAGCTTTGAATGCCCTTTCAACAGATATCTTTCACTATATTTTTGTACAGATTTTGTATTAAAGGAATTAAGACTTAATTTTGGGGTATAAAATTACCTTTTGTCTCTCTGTTGCAGAAGTAGGAGTTTCAGAAAGAATGTGTGATAGTCCACCACAACAATCCTGTACATGTTCAACTTGTCATAATCATGTATCTCCTGTATATAACTCATCTCTCAGAACAAGCAATGGTAGGTAGCTGATACAGCAGAAAGCTGGTGATCATTTTAAATGAATTATGTAATAAGTAATCAGTTAAATTTGTATGTTGTGTAAAGTCATTTTATCCTTAAGGAAGTAAATCGTGAGAGTTTTTTTATAGGAAGCAGCATACTTTTGTGTGATATAAGATGATTTTTTGGCTGAAATATAAAAAAAGTTAGGTTTTATTTCTTTATTGAAGAGAAACTGAAAATAAATTGTGATCTACGTTCTTTTTCACTTGCAGCGTGTTCTTATCATCATAGTCCACAATCAACCTCCCACAATGCCAGTAATGGACCTTGTTATTTAAATACTCATGAAATTCGCATTTGTGCAAATCCCTGTTGTGCGCCCCCTGGTGAGAACAGGGAGCATCGTAGTGACAATCAGGAGGGGAGACCACTCCATCGGTTTCGGTCGGCAGAGAACTGTATGGTGGGTGATTACTATCACCGGGCAGACACTAGAGGTCACCACAGTCTGAACCGGAACTGGTCAACGGACAAAATCCCCCCCACCATTCCACCGAAACAGCATAAACATATGTACATACATGCAAATAAATGCTCGCTGGCACAGAATGGGGGTCCCCATGGTAAATACCCCCACCCTCAGAATGTCTAGCATAATATACTGATGTATAGTGCAGTGTTAAAATTTTGTCTTTTCAAAGCAAGCTTCTGGAATTTGCACTGTCAAATTGCTTAAATTGGAAGAAAAATATGTACCATTTGAGATGAGTATTATCTTAAATTATCTTCAGGTTATTGATATTTTGTATTTTAAATGTAAAGCAACAGTGCAAATCTCATTACCTTCTTTCATAGTATGTTAATATTTTAGCTGATATAGTTTGAAACTATTTCAAAACCAGTGAAATTATAACCATTGTTGACTGTGATCGTATAAGCCAAAGGTTTTCTGTTTTGTTCAACTTTGTTGTGTATAATGCAAGTTCCTTAATCATGCATTTGTTGAACTGACATTTTTTCCTCCCCCCAAAGAAAAGCATTAGTATGTTATCAAAAGGCAGAAACATTTTTGAGCATTTATAAACCAAAAGCATTATAGATGATTTTCATTGTAGTCTAAACGGAGAATTTCAGTTCTGTGTACTGCATAATACAATGTAAAATGGTGTTTATGAATTGCCATACGTTTAATTTAGATTGCTTTGAATTCTCGGAAAGATTTCTTCATTCCATGAAAAAAAATTGAAGTATTTCTTTCTATGTATTTAAGATGTACATACTTATGTATTAAAATGAAATACCTCATACCACAAATATTTGGTTCATACATGTTTCTGTTTGAAAGTTGGAGAGTGACTCATGTTATGCAAGTTTGTTTATGAGACAAATTTTTTCAGAGTTTTCATTTTGGAATTGTGAAATGTCCAAAATGTTGATAATCATTTTTCAAATAGTAAGCACTTTTTTAAATCTCCCAATAGGAATAAATTCAATAAAATAGGTTTATGTCGGTTACTTTTCAGTAAAGAAGTATGTTGGTGTTTTGATTTGCAGTCCGTTACATTTTAGCAGCAGCATACAAGGTGCTTTAAAAGATATATCAGTATTTTATATTTACCATTTGTTTGTAGACAGCATTGTGTTTCATTGCTTTTGAGTTTTGTATGAAACATATTGTGAATCTGATGAACATTAGGTCTATTAAATGCATTATTATAAATGTGACTATATAATGAAATCCATACACACTAACCTCCCTTTGTTACGAGACGTCTTCTTTTTTCTTTCTTCACCCATTTTCACTTACATGTCATGTTATCATTTTATTTTCTCTCATGAAAATGTATTCTGTTTAGTTATCCCAAAAGATCATACTTTATTGTGGTTTTCAAAAAAAAGTCCTCAATTTTTATTACAAAATGTTAAATGAAATTTGGCTTTGTTTATAGAATATTTATGCATTGTGATTGATTTTAAATTTAAATACACCATCAAAGTTATAAAAAAAAAAAAACCCAAATAATCTTATGTTATAAATAAAAAGTATTTTTATTACATTTCTCGAGGTGCCATTTGTTAACGAGTTTAATCATCCATTGTACACTGTATGTCATAGTGTTTGTCTATACTACAAGTGTAGCTTCAACTCTTATTTATTTATGGTTGTGTACATTGTGACGACATTGAAGCAGTTTCTGTTATTATATTTGTACAGAAAAAAATAATGAAAACAGCAAATTAAAATATTTGAAATAATTTATATATGGTGTTGTGTTATGTCAAAGGAAGGGGGCATGGTCACCCTTGCTCTCCAGTGTGTAGTAACTAAGAAGATCTAATGGTTGCTTGGAAATTTTGTTTGCATTGGGAAAAAGTATGAATTGTGATCCCAAAGTAATGTGATGTGTTTTTAGAAATCTCTATACACCGCACAATAGAGTGCATTCTTTGGTGTTTTTAAGCAGAGTGAGCTGCCCTTTTATCTGGAATAAAATTAATTGAAATATATATATATATATATATATATATATATATATATATATATATATATATATATATATATATATATATATATATATACAGTGTATAGCTTAATTAGTAATCGATTCAAGTATTCTTAAGTAAACAAAAGGACTGCATTGTCTTTGAAAATTTTTCAAAGGGGTGAATGCCAGATACCCTGTGTTGAAAAAGAAAAGATAAAGCTTAAGATTCACAGGTATTGAATGATAATGTTGCCATTGAGAAAAACATAATTTTCTCAATAGCCCAAAAATAGATGGTCCTTAAAATCTCTAATAATATAATACATGTAATAGGAAGTCGTCAACAGAATTTGATATATACTAATACCTCTGTCTCTTTTGATTGTTGTCTAAAAATTTCATTCAGATAAATACCATACATGTACATGTATACGTTATGCAATATTTTTAAAAGTAATGTATATCTGGAATTAAAATGTTTATTTTATAAAATTTGGTGATGACTTGCAGTAATTAAAGATTTTACAGCAGTATAACATTATCTTTGGATCAATCTTCGAAAAAAAAAAACAACCCAGAATTTTAAAATTTTAGAATTATATTTTGTATTTATAAATGGGCAAAGTTTATATGTATAAAAAAAAAAGAAAAAAAAAAAAAAAAGAAGACGCATTTTCATTATGATAGGTGTGATTAAAATCAGAGTATACTGAAATTATATATATATATATATATATATATATATATATATATATATATATATATATATATATATATATATATATATATATATATATATATAAAACTTTATACATGTAGTCAATAACTGTTTTGGTTCTATTATGTTTAATCAACTGCTACATCAACAAGCAATGAATAATTTAGACAAAAGGATTCAGAATTCATTTGTTTATGCTGTTGAACATGTACATACATTGAGCTTGAGGAAATTTGTCACTGATTTTAAGAAAGACAACTCTTCTTTCTTACGATCCATAACTACGACAGTTATCCAATACTGGTAACTCAGAGTCTCTTCTAGGTGTTATTAGTCTCCTTCCGGTGAAAGAGCAGGGGACTGTAGGTTTCTTTCTCGTTGTAGTGCTTATGCAATACTGAATGCTTGTTTTAATTTGCAAAATAAACTGTGCAAACGTGCACGCATTTCCTACCTAGACTCCTTTCTGCTGCTCAATTAAACAAATGAATACATTTTTCCATGCTCAGTCCATTTGAACATTTTATCCTTAACAAGTATTCTTCATTTTGTTCTCTATGATATCCAATACAGTAATTAAATTAAATATCAAATAATAATTTAATTCCATTCCACAAATCAGCAACTCTTTGGTTCTGTAATTAACTAATATTTATTCATTTTTATCAGAAACATATCCTTTTAATTTTCTTTATAATAAAACTGAGTAATTCAGATGACCTAAACAACTTTTAATTGTATTTTCAAGAAAATTTTATAAAGGTTTAGATATAATTTTGTCGGTATTTTTCTTGTCTAATTTGCCCATCTCATATTTTGCAATTACGTATAATTTGCACCATGCATGCATTTCATTTTCCTTCTTGAATGCTGTAAGAATGCTTAAAAATCATAAATTTCTTTAGTTGTTAACTGTTTTATTGTCCTTGATGTTTGATCATCTGCAGCATCTACAAATAACGATTAAGGCTAGAAGATCTAGAGATTGTTGGTGAACTCTCAACATGATGACGATAGGTTCTTACTGTTCTAAACCAAATACACTGCATACAGTCACATTACAAAGGAGTATACCAGACATAAACTTTAGCTGATAATAAAATGTAACAAAATTAGTTCCTCTGTTAAAAGTTGCTAACATAAAATTATTCTTGTCAAAATGCTATAAAGATTAATATCATTTTCAAACGAATGTAAGCACGCAAGTTTTTTTGGTAAAACAGACCCTAGCGTTTGATTATATATGTATATTAATCAATTCAGAATCAATTCCTGCTTTGCAGCAACTTTAATGAAAAAGTAAGCAATCTCTCTTAAGTATTCTCCCTTTCTGCTGCCCCTAAGTAGATCAAAGGTTTAAGAGGGCCAAATAATTACATCTTTCCTTATACTGCCCATGACCTCAAAAAGGGGCCATATCGGAAGAGCTGTTAATCTTTGATACTCATGTAAATACTCGGTACCCCCTTTTACATTTTAATGTACATCAGAAAACACTATAACAGAGATTAAACTGGCATAAACAGTAATTTATTTTTATGATGAAATTTAAAACCAGACGCATGTTAAAAAATCCATATAATGAATATATTTTAAAAAAAGTTTCAAATAAATTAATGAATATTAAAAATCACAGCTCAATGAATTGCAACTGATAAATAACACATAAAATATCTATAAATTAAAAAATATGCATAAATAGAATTTTAAAAATAATGTAGAACAAACAAATACTATCTGAGGTGCAATGACTTTGCTTAATGAATCATGGTTTACCATGATAAGTTCAAGAATAGCAACTCTATGAAAAAAAAAGGAATCATTTGAAATGACTAATATTAGTGTAAAACACTTCTGTCAAACTTTTCATTCTTTTTAATAAACTGTTATCACTTGTAAATGAAAATGGCAAAAACGTGCAGTAGCACGGTTGAAAAAGTTTCTTAAGTATTTTAAAGTATTCTCTGTCAACCGACTACTTTTGAAAAACTCCATAAATGAGCGTGTTCCTGTCTAATCTGTGGAAATCTGATTCAAATCACCTTTGATGACCTTTTTCCCGCAAATCCCACATACAGCAAAAGATTCATTTTGTGTGATTTCCACAGAGCCACTGCAATTTCCGCAACCATACTTGTTGAGTAACTTGACATTAAATGCCTCATATCCATTTTCTACCGTGAAACCGATTACAAATTCGACCCTACGACCGCCATTATGAGATCCGACAAGATTGCATACGTTAGGTATAAAGAAAACAGTTGCCTGGACTATACTATCACCTAAGTCAAGAGATATAAATCCAGCACCCTTTTTGGTATTTGGCTGACAGATCGTTCCTTTGCATACAGCCAAATCGGACGTCATTGTCCCTTTCACTATATCTCTGTCGCTCATATTTAGGCTCAGAAATCTTGTTCCAGGAACGAGTCGTCGTATTCCACTTTCATCCCTTCCAAGCCATTCTCGCGGAAACTTTGGTTTCAGCAGAAACTTCCCAGCTTTTTTCATATCGTCTTTAAGTATACGTTGAGCCTCTAATAAGCAGTCTGTTTTACCGCTCAGCTTTTTTGATCCAAATCCAATCAGACTTGTGATTATAAAGTTGTAGAACTTAGACATAGGTGTTTTCATTTGGTCTTCCCATTGTTTCACAACGAGCAGTACATTTTCTAAGTCATACTGTTTGCTACATTTTTGATGTCTTATCGCAAAAAGCCACTCTTGGTAGTCTCTATCCAAGGCACGTTTATTCTCTATGGGTCCTTCAATTGGAATTTTTCGGAAAATTTCCTCGTACCATGTTACTATTTGGTCTATGTCATTGCTGGATTGGATATGTTCCAAAACTGTGTAATCTTTGTTCTTACTTACACACTTTAATTTCTTCATTGCAATTCGTAGTCGAAACGTCGTAGGGTCTTGGGATTGTGGCAAGGTCTCAAGGTTCAAGCTATTTTGGTGAAAAAGAAAATTATACCAAAACACTGAACTCTGAATTGAAGGGTCCATATCATTCTGATCAATGACATTGTAACACTCCATCAGAAGCGTATCAATTATTGATATGCTTTGTTTGACAAAGTCTATACCTTGCCAATCCTCCGAAGATTTCATCCGCAGAAATCCCTTTATTCCTTTATATTCCCTCAATTCGAAATGCTTTTCAACGAAGTCGCAGATCTGCAATCGCACATTTATTTCTCCAACATATCCATAGCAGTTTTCTCGCCCGGGCGGTGTGCACTCTCGGCAAATTGAAAAATAATTACACGATCTCTCTGCAAGGGGTATAAGATACTCTAGCCTACTTTTGACATTCCCACTTTTTGTCTTTTTAAGAGGGATATCATCAATTGTTTGTCCAGTGTACATCGCGATTCGTTTTTGAATTATCGTCCCATACATATGGTAGATATGCATAAGTGATAATTTCCATCTTTCATCAAGCTCTTCTATCTTCTTCCCCTTAGTTTGTTTATTTGCTAGATCTAGGGCTTTCTGTAGACAATCTTCGGCATCTTGTTGGTCATTAGGTCTACAGTATGCATAAAATCTTCCTAAATGAGCAATAAAGTTCGGATCCTCAGGAAAGGCATCTGTCAGCTTTTTCAGAACATTCAGTCTTTCAGTGAAAAGTGGTTGTTTTGAAGTAATGTCAATTATAATTCTTGACAATCTTGGCTTTCTTCTACCTTGTTCAGCAGTTTCACTTACTTCTTTATTGTCCCGGAATATGAAAGTCCTTGCCAATATGTGTGCTACTGTCCCGCAAGTTTGTTGTTTCCCTTTGCTTGCATAATCAATGAATTCAATACAAAATGCTTCCAGAGATTGCTTTGCAGAAGGACTAAGATTGGGACCTCTTACAACTTTTTCATTAGGATCGCCCAAAATTTGTTGTAATATTTCTTGTGCAATGATATGGTGACATATTCTAACATTGCCTTTTCTTCCCTCGTTTTTATCGACAACAATAAAATCTTTTATGGGGTGCTCAAAATCTGTAATATCCACAACATCATCTTCTTTCATATGTAAGAGAGGCTGAAAAAA